AGCCCAGCGGCCTATCAATAATCTCAGCTAGCGAAGGTTAAGGATGAGCTCGGCTCGCGTACTGAGATCCATATTAGCTGATGGGTTCCTGAAAGCAACTCGGCATAGTTGAGGACAGAGCTCGAGGGATGGTTGTCGAGCTAGCGTTGACAGGGGCGTAGGGATATTGAGACCTGTATGGAAATGGGATTCCTGGATGATTAAGGATGGTAAACCTGGATGAAACTTTAGTAGGATAAACTTGCAAAGAAGTGGCTAGATGAGACACTCTGTTGGGCCTAGAATCCTACCATACTGGGACTCTCGAGTATATAAGGGCGAGTTCTTTTGTTTTAAGATATGAGAATTATTTTTCCTGAATATCACGTTTTCTTCTCTTGAAACCCTACTGACTTAAGATATGAGAATTATTTTTCCTGAATATCACGTTTTCTTCTCTTGAAACCCTACTGACTTGAGCGTTGAAGGACAAATTATCCAAATTATCACAACAAATTATCCAAATTATCTTTATAAGAAACTGAAGGAAAAACGGGTGCAAGCCACTAAAATTATCCAAATTATCACAACAAATTATCCAAATTATCTTATAAGAAACTGAGGAAAAAACGGGTGCAAGCCAATAACATGAAGCACCAAAAGCGGGGAAAGCCCTTTTGAAACCCAAGTGGGATTCCATCCCAAAACCAGTTGATGGAATGAGGAGTAGCCTATTAGATTTATAAGGTGAATCTATTTTTCATGTATAAACGATGTGGGACAACTCCAAATGATAATCTGACATAACTACTAATTAAATTATCTTTTCAAGCACATTAAAAAAAAAGGGAAAACACTATGATTATATATGAATGATTATCCTTAATTGCTCTTACCCACGAAACACTCCAATCCACACGAAAACCCTCGTTTTGTTGCCTTCCCAATAAATTTGTGAAAAGAATAGAATAGATACCCTTTTTTTACGGGTAAAATGCACCAAACCCCCCTGTAATATACTAAATCTGCGCGTTATCCCCCTCTATTTTAAAAAATGCATCAAACCCCCTTCTATTGTAGTTGGGCTAGCACACCACCCCCGTCATCTTAGACGGTTTAGGGTGTTTCGCGCAAGCCAAACTACAATAGAAGGGGGTTTGACGCATTTTTTAAAATAGAGGGGGATAACGCGTAAATTTAGTATATTACTGGGGGGTTTGGTACATTTTACCCCTTTTTTTACTGAACTTTTGTACTACCTCCTATTTTAAATAGATATCATTTTGGGATGTTGCACATCTATTAAGAATATTTGTTTTTATCAATAATAACTTTATTTAATGAAGATAGAGATGAATGTTTTGAGAAAAAGATGAAGAGTGATTATGAAAAGACGTTATGTATTTATTAGCTAAATGAGGGTAATAATGGAAAAATATGTACAAAAGATCCAAAACGTCATTTATTTAGCAAATAGTTGATAAAACTAGAATGACATTTAAAAAAAATAGGAGGTAGTATTAGGGAAAATTTGTGGGACACAAACAAGTCATGGAAAAGGTCTTATCTCCTTGAAGAATAATGCTATTTGTACCCTTTAGTGTACCACTTAATAAATTATTCATTAAAAATAAATAGGTACATGTACCTGTTGGATGTAAACTAAGTGGTACACCAAAGGGAACATGTTGAATGTAAACTAAGTGGTACACCAAAGGGAACATGTAGCATGATCCATATCAGAATCAGTTCGTTTAGCTTAATTATTAATTTATAACTAAGATTAGCGATCATAATTAAACCCCGCATTATTCTTCAATCCATTGCGTGGCATCATAAAGTTGTTTGGTGATAATATTATACTTTTGAAATATACAATATATTATAATATTGTTATAAAATGTTACGTTTCTGAAAAATGAAAATGTGTTGAACAATTAGGTTACATATGTATAAGAGATTGATATTTTTACAATAAGTACGAAAATCAAACTTTAACACACATAATAAACATTTGTCCTTGAAATTATGTTTCACCTTCTATAAGAGATGCTATAAATAGTGGAGCAAGGAATAGAATTGCAAATTTAGTTTTATATGTTGCAATTTCGGTCATAATCGTTAAAATTTCAACAAATTTTTCACGGGTAATAATTGATGTGAAAAAAAATGGAATCAATTGTTTTTTTTTTTTTTTT